CTAATGTTTGTATGCTGTTAGGAATTATCAGCTTCGTGGCGTGGGGTCCATTCAACCTATCATATAAGTAGGATAAGCACGTTGGAGATTGATAGCAAAATGCACTGATACTACTTTTGTCGCAAATGTAGGAAAATTCTACTAAAATCCATTTTCCTAAATTGAAATGAATTCTAGTGAAATTCTGGTAAAATCACACATTTCTATTGAATCGTGTGGTAACCGAGATTTTTGACTGACAACATCAATATTCATACTAGTATAGCAATAAATAATAGAATTTCTAAACAAGCTGCTGCTCACACACATTCAACCGAGCATAAACAGGCGAGTGATCAGTATCCATACCTACACAGTGGACAGGAGCACTGTTCAATCAGTCAGAATCAAAACTGTGGATTGTATAGGAAAGACTATCGATTGATGAGATGCGATAACCAAATATATTCTCATTGCCACTGGAATTACCATCTGGTCCACCGGTACCTATTCATGAAATTGTAGCTGCATCTGAGTGGTCAACACAGGCTTCAAGTTTGTTTCTATCACAATTCCTTCAGATAATGTCATTCGATTATCGTCCTATAATATCAACCGATTTTATTCGTCCAGGTTGTTAGAGCACGCGGCCATCCCCAGCTAGATATGAATGGATCTCACTGCTTTTTATTCTCTTCGGTAACTATTTGTTTATCGCAGTTTCAGATAGAACCATAATAATTTATCATATTGCCTAATCACCCTTCGTTCACCTGGGGTATAGGAGAAAAAAGTTATCTATAAAAACGGTCTAGCTTAGTGTAACCTGCAAAGCGAATGCGTTTAGAATATACATAAATAGAGCCAGCCAACGAAACAACAGGTGTCAAAATTCCACTTACGCAGATTTTGTGGAAATGATATGCATATCTGGTCTTTCTAATTTAATTATATGCGTTATACAATACCTATGAAATTCTGTATATTGTTTTCATATGCTCCGTTTACTTCTGTGATCATTCATTGGAAATGATCAGTCAGGTACTCCGGACACTCCGTTTTTCTCGACCACTTTATTTTCCATAAAATCTCCTACTTCCTAACATGTTTATCGGTGTCTGAACGAAACCCTAGACGAAGCAGCGTAGGCACAAGGCAACTCTCACCTGTTCCTATGTGGAATATTAGTTCTGCTGTGAGAATATCCTACTAAGTAGTAATACAGTAGCCCGAGTGATAATTCAATCTCCATCTGGTGACTGGTTCTTTAAGTGTTTCCCAATCTTCCGAGCTGATATCTTTATTCCTTGACAAACATTGTATATCACGTATGTGCATTCATAGATCTTACACACTGATCTCATGGAAATTTATGTTAACAATGAGATTGTTCCTAATATTCCCACCACAAATTCTTTTAAGGATCCCACACGACTTTGGTATAGTGTTGAAATGAGCTTGTGCTGGAGATCGACTGGGAACAGCACAGACCAATTAATTACTTCGAGTTGTGATACTAGTTGATCGCGTAAAGTATGTTCTTTCTCCAGACCTAAGTGTAATAACGCTAACCTCAGAAGACGAAGTCAAACTGTGGGAGGACCCAATCCATCACCATGGGAGATTGGCATTCGTCAGTGAAGTCAACGAGAAAAGATCGTGAAGTGCCAACAGCATGTACTCTGATACCGCCCAAGTTTAAAAGCAGCACGCTGGCTTACATCGAGGAAAAACATTGCGATTAGCGTTTTCAGTTGAAGCGTGTGCAAAATGTACTCTCAAACGATAGATAATCCGCGGAGAGTAAACGATTGATCAGTACAAAACTAGTGAATATCATAACTGCATTTCAATAGAAATACGTCTGAGATAAATGCCCAACAATCAATGAGATACGAGTAACACAAATTAATAACATCAAACCATGAACTGCATTTCAAAAGAAACTCGTAAAAAAAAGTCATAACTTTCTTCTATACGTCGTGAGCATCTCAAAGTACACCACCCAGTAAAATAAATTCGGAAATGTACAAACAAATTGACCATTGGAACAGAAGCTGTAGGCGAATATATGTTTTCGGTGATTTCATTCTCATGCCATTGCAATCAAATTTGTAAAGTAAAAACTTGAAGAAAGCTAATCGGAAGAGTTCTAAGTGTCTCACTCAGTGGTTGGAATTGAATGAAATGACTGGCAGACGGATGAGTCAACTTTAACCACAAAACATTTTCACAATTGACTGGGTCACATAACAAGTCATAATTAACTTGCGTCACAGTCACGCTCATGTATGATGTAATCGACTGTCCACCATGGCAACTGGAACACTTGGACTAACTTTCGTTGCAAGTATGGTTGTGGTCTCAAAAGATGGACGCTAACTGCTTCGGCAGCTCGAACAGGTACCTGTTCAGACAGACAGTCTCACACGCACATGAACCCTCTGCAGACCATCGATCTAAAGCCTTCACACTGACGGAAATATATCTGAAATTGTATCCACACATACACACTGTTGATGTTTGCATTGCTTCATCTCAAACTGGGCTGAACACTCAATCTGTGTCGTGTTGACAGGCAATCATATGCTCGGCCAGCTTTTCTTGCTTGCATACAATTCCGACTCGCGTTCACCTCTGGTTTACATTTACACATACACTATTCGCTTGTGCTTGCAATTACTATGCACTGCTCCTGAATACACGTACCGCAAAGCAAATGTGTTCCTGTTCTTTCCGATGATTTCCGGATAAAACAGACCCATATCTTATTAAATCACACAAGCTTCATTGGTCAATGACCGATGCATTGTTCACGCTAACTCATAAGCTCTGACCAACCCATTCATTCGAAAGCTTGAACCGCAAGAAATTCTCACTTTCGATGGCGAAATAAGCCAACTAAGGTATTCGGAACGCAAGAAGTGGGTGAATATAGGTTTTCGGTGATTTCATTATCATGCCATTACAATCAAATTTGTAAGGTAAAAACTTGTAGAAAGCTAATCGGAAGAGTTCTAAGTGTCTCACTCAATGTTTGGAATTGAATGAAATGACTGGCAGACGGATGAGTCAACTTTAACCACAAAACATTTTCACAAATGACTGGGTCACATAACAAGTCATAATTAACTTGCGTCACAGTCACGCTCATGTATGATGTAATCGACTGTCCACCACGGCAGCTGGAACGCTTGGACCAACTTTCGTTGCAAGTATGGTTCTGGTCTCAAAAGATGGACGCTAACTGCTTCGGCAGTAGCTTGCGTCCGAAGCTTCATTGTTCCTGATGCGTGTTGTTCGACGCGATGAAATATTGTTAGGTCCGAGTGAACATCGCAAAAGGAAGTCAAATTGATTTCGAAGTACATTCCAAAAAACTGGTTGTACAAACGACTCATCTCATATCTAGATTGACAGAAGATTGAGGACGTTTCAAATGGTCACTGGCCACGTGATAATATTTGTACCCACATTATCAGGTATGCAGTCACGTTTTTCTGGAACGAAAGCACTTTGATGCCCTAAGGGATCTACAACGCAATCCCAAAGTTATTCTCAGCAGACTAGAATAAGTATCTGGAACTGTTTTGATGGACCGAGCGACTTACGTGTCTAACATACCACATATCTCTGTGACGAATCTAAGTCCACCGAGGACGCACCGAATGAAGACCAAAGGGAGAAGACAGAACAGAAAATTACGACAGCACAAAAACGTCTCAGGGACCGAGGCTCCATAAAACCCAGTCTCTTCGAAAGCCTCAGTCAAGTGGGTTCCATTCTACCTCGTCTACATTTTCTACCCGAAGTTCAAAAACCTGAACTACTCTTCCATCCTGTCGTCTGCATGATTAATTAAGCCTACCATGCAACAGTCAGGTGGATACTTGAAATACTAGAACCTCTACAGTAGAAAAATAGCAAAAACACACGTTATTAGACACTTTCCAGTTCATCAGCATTTTTGAAGTTACAAATATGAAACTGAAGAAAATTGTTTTCTTGATGTAGTTCCTTCGTTCTGCAAAGTACCCTTAACTGAAACTGTCAATTTCCTCTGTGAAATCGTTGACAGAGAGATGATGACATTAGAAATCCCAACTATATAGTAATCAGCTGATCACACCCTATCTATCACTTGTGTAACAGTACGTTTCGCGCACGCGGCTACCACAAGCACTACTTCCGACACAGTCACTCGGCACATGCCAGTGTGCGCTCTCTGTACTCAGGCCCTGTGAGAAAACACGCGGTTCGCACCCCACGATCGTGGAAGCTGACAGAGTGTGCCCTCCAATAATTGGGGAGCCCGTTCCACTTATATTTTTGGAAAATCCCACCAAAGTACCCCACGCAGATCACGTCTTCGGTAGTTTTTTTCCTTCCTTTCGTCTGCCATATATTCGGTCTAACATTAGTTAGTTTATTCGCATTTTCGTATATCCATGGGGCATTATGTTTTAACTCTGCACGTTTTTTCATCGTCTTTATTGTATCGATCAGTTTTTATTCCCATTGATCCCGAGATTTTGTTCATCAGGCGTTTCCAACAAATTTTTGGAATTCCAGGCTAGTTCATTTCCACAGAAAACCTATCTCACAATGAACTTACAGTCTACGTCCGAGTATGATCCGGAGTGCCAGGCAGCACACATGAGAATACCGGATTCCATACCAGAAGATTCGGAAGTGTTCATCCCCATCCTCGAGTCTCGTTTCCAGGAGGCTCGTATATATAGTAAGCAGTATAAATACAACAAAATGCTCTCAGCAACCCCAGAAATCCGGGACATCGTTATGAACCCGCACGGATCACAACCTGTTCGACACACTCCTGTAAGCTCTATTCAAGCGCGTGGCAGCGTCGGAAGAGAGACGTTTCCAACGTCTTCTCTCCGAAATCCAGCTAAGAGATATGAACCCACCGCAGTTAATAAGAAAGATGCATTTATTGGTATGCAGGACGTTCATGTACGACGTAGTCTTGTGTCAAATATGGATGTAGCGGCTTCCATCAGATGCTCAGAGCAAATTTGCCCGTCCAATATGAAGGTCAGACTTTGGATAAGTGCGCAGAGGCTGCAGACAAAGTCCTCGAGCAGGCACGTGCTTTTGATTCACGGTCCTACGCACTCACCAGCACCTCTGTTACTCCACCAAATCCCACTGTGAACTCTGCGTCAACAACCACCCAGCACAACGCACCTGGTAACAACTCTAGCATTCAGATGGCATGCCAGGAGGTCCGCCGTTTAATGCAGGTGGTGGAACAGCACGAGACCACCATCATTAGTTTGCGTCCATGAAACCAGAGTCGTTGCAGTTCTACCCCGAACGCCCCGTGACAAAGCGCATAATCCAGCAAGTGTTTATATCACCGCCGTTTCAGGTGCCAGGCGCACAAGTGCGAACAGCCTTGTACTTAACACACCCGCCAGGAAAACTGCTAGGCCGAAAGATGATGGAAACGAGCTCCTTCGATGCCCATATTCCTAGGCGCCTCATTTAAGTGAAAGAAAGAACTATCAGTATGCGTTTCTTAGTCGACACTGGAAAGCAGTTCAGTTTAATACCGGTTTCAAAACGGTCCACTTTCTCCCTTACAGCTGAAGCACCGCAAGCCGCAAACGGCATCCCAATCCCAGCATAAGGCAGTCGATTTCTCACTTTAGACCTTAGCTTACGTCGTCGCCTAAGTACACCAGGCCATTTTAGCCCTCGATTTTTTGGAAAGTCACGGTCTAGTGGTCGATCCCGGAAAGCAACAGCTAGTAGATCGAGTCACATCAAATTTCGTAGTTGGTTCCTCTACTGAGGCTCAGCCGCTAACGATCCTCACGCCAATCCCTAGTTCCGAACCAAAATTCGGCAGTTTATTCAACAAGTATTCTAATTTTGTCCACCCAAAGAACAACCTGCTTCCGATCACCACTGATGTGGCCCATCACATCGTCACACAATGGCCCTCGGTCCCCGCTCGATCCCGCAGGTTGGCTCCAGACAGGCTCCGTGGAGCCGCTCTGAGTTCCAACATATGCTCAACGTGGGAATTATCCAGCCCTCAAACAGCCCATGGGCATCACCCTACACATAGACCTAAAGAAAACGCCCGACGACTGGAGACCGTGCATGGACTATCACTCACTCAATCGAGTGACCACTCCCAACCGATATCCTATTCCGCACATCACGGACCTTGCAGCTGGTTTGACTGGTAAGATAATTTTCAGCCGAACAAATTTACTGCGGGCATATAAACAAATACCAGTAGCTGAGACCGAGATTCCAAAAGCAGCCGTAACGACTTCTTTCGGTCTTTCCGAGTTTCTACGAATGCCGTTTGGACTCAGAAACACCGCGCATACTTTCCAGCGTTTCATCAATAATGTTTGTAGTGGTTTGGATTTTACGTTCGCTTATTTGAACGATCTTGTGGTTGCCAGCTCGTGCAAGACATAACATCCAGCATATCCACGCACGATTTGCGACCGCCAATCCAAGCACGGGGTCACGGTCAACGAGAATAAGTGTGTAATGGGCGTCGATGCCATCGAATTCTTAAGCCACAAGGATACTTTCACCAGGACAAGGCGCAGGCAATCCTGGACTACTCAGAACCTACATCATTCAAGGAACTACGACATCTCCACGGGTTAGTCAACTTCTATCGGCATTTCATCCCACAATGCGCTCAGCTAATGCAGCTCCTCACAGACTTGGTAAACGGCAAGGCGAAACAACTGGTTTTCACAGAAACCACACGATATGGTCTTGCTGTTCTAAAGCAGGCTATCGGCAACATAACCTCGCTATCACATCTGAAACCAATATTTTCAACTGCATTATTCACCGACGCACCAGACAACGCCATGAGCGCTGTGTTGCAACAATACTTAGCCGACACTTGGCAACCAGTTCCATTTTTCTCCAAAGAACTGCAACCGGCTGAATCCAAGTATAGCATATTCGGCCGCAAAATTCTGCCTATCTACCTAGGAATCCGTCACCTTAGACATATTAGAAAGACGCAAATTCGCGGTCTACACCGACCATACACCGATCATCCACAATTGTATTGTCAGTTTTCAGGCGACGGGTTTTTGAAACACTACCCGGTTTGTCTCAACCGGGTATAAAAGCTTCTACTAAACTAGTCGGCGACCGTTATATTTGGAAGAATATGAACCGTGATGTCACTGCATGGTCCCGTGCCTGCATCCAATGTCAACAGTCAAAAGTGCATAGGCACACGAAAAGCCCGATATCAACGATTCCAGGTGTCGACTCACGTTTCGAACACGTGCATGTCAACCTGGTAGGGCCGCTGCCTTGGCAGCTAACAAAAATCCAAACTGGCGGGAATCACTACCGCCAGTAAATTTGGGTTGTGGCAACGCCCTTAAGGCCGATCTACAAACCCCATTAGCCGAACTCACATTTAGTTTAGCGCTTCGACTACCTGGCTACATGGTAGCCCTAGAGTCCATCGTTATTTTTGACTACGCTGATTACGCCGCTAAGATGAAGCACCAGATGAGAAAGTTACCCCTTCCTACGGCTCGCGAACAAAGCACGACGATTTACGTACACACACACCTTCGAGACTGTGCGCACGTTTTCCTTAGAACAGAGGCACGCGCTCCTCTACAACCTGCATAATTCGGCCCTCCCAGAGTCCTACGCAGCCTGGAAGAATCATTCGTCGTCGACCACAACGGCAGATAGGATACGGTAACCATGGTCCAACTTAAACATGCTTTTCTGGCTAAATGCATTTTGTCCGATGTCCCCCCATCGAATTCTTCAGGACCAGCAACCACGTCTCCGGTATCCCATACGTCGACCGTACAAACGCCGATGACCCAGTTACCCGGCCGTTCTGACACGGCCCTCTGCATACACCCGAGTCCACTGACTTCCAGTCGCGGACGGGTGATCAAGAAACTCGTTCGTTTCGCAGATACGGTGTGTTGGATCACATGGAAAAAAGAAAAAAAGAAGAAAACAAAACATAAATGCTGTTGTGGCTGCCCATTCGAAGTTTGTTTTCCACACTGAGGCCGTTTATCTTTTCTTTCTCTGCTAAACAACATTTTTGATATTCTGCCCATCCATCACCTCCGAAAACTATCATCGAAAGCCTGCAGTTTAGGAGGGACTCGCACGGTTTTCAAAAATACCCATCAGCTAAAGGCAGGATACTGACCACCATCCGGTAGGTTTTCGCACTCATCATCCACTGCGCCTGCACTAAAGACCCACACGCAGGATACACGCATTTCCGATCACAACACCCCCTTATCAAGCCGAACCTGTTCCAGGTCATTCACTGGGGTGAGCGGAGAGGAAACTCCACTGACAACTTCGCCGTAACTACCGGACAATACCGCCTCCCGCGTTGGACATGAGGTTTTTCAGGTTGGGTATCCAGCTACGGCGGCTTTACCCAGTGTCTCGCTTCGGGTGCCAACTGCCACATTCTACCGCAAATAACTTTCTTTTCTCTCTTCTGTTTTTTCTTCTATTTCCTCGTTGAGATATCTATGTTGTCAATTCAATTTTAACCCAAAAAATTGGTTTCAGTCAGTTGTTTATTTTCATTTCTCAAAGTAATTCATTCATTTCGGAGTAATTTTACATGTTTCTTTCGTTGTCATGTTTGTTCTGCCCGTCATACACAGGCAATAACGCCGGATCGGAGGAGTTTGGGGGTGCGATCTAAACCCACGAACAGTGTTAAAGTAACAAAAAACGCCAATATTTATTTATTACACTGGCTTTATCACGAGCGACATTTCCGTTCGCTTGCCAGGCTTCTGAATCGAAACATTTCTTGCGGGTTGTCTTCCAGGAGGGGCCCTATAGTGATCAGCTGGCCACACCTTGTCTATCACTTGCTTAGCTGTACTTTTCACGCACGCGGCTACCGCAAGCGCTACTTCCGACACACTCACTCGGCACATGCCAGTGTGTGGTCTCTATACTCAGACCCTGTGCGCAATTTCAAAACCAATTTGACTTCCTTTTGCGATGTTCACTCGGACCTAACAATATTTCATCGCGTCGAACAACACGCATCAGGAACAATGAAGCTTCGGACGCAAGCAACTGCCGAAGCAGTTAGAGTCCATCTTTTGAGACCACAACCATACTTGCAACGAAAGTTGGTCCAAGTGTTCCAGTTGCCGTGGTGGACAGTCGATTACATCATACATGAGCGTGACTGTGACGCAAGTTAATTATGACTTGTTATGTGACCCAGTCATTTGTGAAAATGTTTTGTGGTTAAAGTTGACTCATCCGTCTGCCAGTCATTTCATTCAATTCCAAACATTGAGTGAGACACTTAGAACTCTTCCGATTAGCTTTCTACAAGTTTTTACCTTACAAATTTGATTGTAATGGCATGATAATGAAATCACCGAAAACCTATATTCACCCACTTCTTGCGTTCCGAATACCTTAGTTGGCTTATTTCGCCATCGAAAGTGAGAATTTCTTGCGGTTCAAGCTTTCGAATGAATGGGTTGGTCAGAGCTTATGAGTTAGCGTGAACAATGCATCGGTCATTGACCAATGAAGCTTGTGTGATTTAATAAGATATGGGTCTGTTTTATCCGGAAATCATCGGAAAGAACAGGAACACATTTGCTTTGCGGTACGTGTATTCAGGAGCAGTGCATAGTAATTGCAAGCACAAGCGAATAGTGTATGTGTAAATGTAAACCAGAGGTGAACGCGAGTCGGAATTGTATGCAAGCAAGAAAAGCTGGCCGAGCATATGATTGCCTGTCAACACGACACAGATTGAGTGTTCAGCCCAGTTTGAGATGAAGCAATGCAAACATCAACAGTGTGTATGTGTGGATACAATTTCAGATATATTTCCGTCAGTGTGAAGGCTTTAGATCGATGGTCTGCAGAGGGTTCATGTGCGTGTGAGACTGTCTGTCTGAACAGGTACCTGTTCGAGCTGAAGAAAAAAATCACCTCCCTCCTACAGAGAAAGTGAGATTATCGCGCACAATGAGATGACGCATCCGATTCGATTGGCGCAGTCTCATGCCTATTGAAGGATATACACCTGGTTGCGCAGTGCTGATTGGCGAATGCTGTGTGATTCTGTCAGTTACAGAAATGCGCGAAGTTATGCAATAATTTTCGAAACATCTTGCAACGGGAACTGTAGTGACCCCAAACAATCTGAGAAAATGACCGTTTTCTGGACACCATTTTCGATCGATTTTCTCTACGATCTTTTCAGACGTTTGACACCGACCTTACTGTTTTGTTCGGTTACGTACGT